TTCACTATAGATCTAAGATGGTATCTACTATTTTCTTTATAAACATTGTATCAGAATTATTCATAAAATCTCAATAAAATTATCTATTTCTAATCTAATCATAGGGACATCATTTAATTGACCAAAAACATCAATATGGTATGAAATATTTTCTTATTTCTTAAATTGTTTTATCAGCAATTAGACCAGTAAGCAGCCATCTCAAGCCACTACGTCGTCAGTCACTGTTGACCCTTGACAAGCACCAATTTTCATGAGTTCAGCAGGTTAGTTGTTGGAGTCTCAGCCAGGCTGGTCAGTCATTGCAACAACCTGCTTACAAGTCTACCAACAAGTAATATTTCTTATATTCATTTATCTTGATAGAAAATATCTTGCAAACTACCAGCTGGTTTCTACCTTTTTCCCAACACACACAATGAAATCTAGGCTCGAAAGATATATAAAAAATTGTTGGAATTACTACAGCAAGAGTTTGATTTATTCTAGATACCATGTATTGAGTGAGACTAGGTGTAACTGTACATTTGTAATGTGTACCAGTTAGTCAGTTCCATCATGTTTTAGCCAGATTTTCAATAAAACCTCTGATTTTCAATTAAACGCCAGATTTTGACTATCATTATATTACTGTTTATATTAAACACTATTCTCTTTCTAGTTATAGTATTTCCTTTAACAAGGTACTTCTATATTACTACCACATGAATTACTCATTTAAACAGTTTAATTAGAATATTTCAATATGTTCAGTATCAAGGCTTTCCTTCACAAGAGATCATCAGTAAACTCAGTTTGGTCTGAAGTTTTCAAAGCTGAATATTCTTCATTCAATAAAACCGTAAGATCGGTAGATGCCTTGGTAGGGCACCTGTTAGTTGTACTATGTCAATTACTGATTGACATACATCATAGATACCTACTTATAAGTCATGGCACTATTGTTAATACTAGCTTTATTTCTTAATAACTAACAAGTCAGATTACCAAACCATTACTGGAAGCCAGTTGTTCTGATGCTCTGCAATAAGAACTTCACATCTTCCTTTTGAAAATATGACAGTTACTTGCATTCTAATGCTTAGAGAAACACCGGAAGCACAAATAATAGAATTGAAAAATTATATTTCAACATGGTTGGAAGATGTTAATGTTCATTTTCTATCAACACCATGTTTTGTTTACCACTAATCAATTATCACAAATATCATTAAAACAGGTTTACAATATGCACTAAAAATCACAATTCTATATCAGTTGAGAATATAGATATATCAATACAAAACAAAGGCTGTCTGTCTAAAGCTCGGAATGTTTTGTCGCAGACTAAAATCTTGTCAAGAGTTTTTCAGCGCGTGCACATGAGGAGACAAAAGTAAGAAGTGATACATCATACACCTGCAACTTTCTCCACATTCTTTGTCTATAGGATCTAAAATATTTTCAAACTGTTTTGCCGACAAATTATTTTGTGTGAGGACTATGAAGTTTCAGCCAGTTACTTGATTTCAGATATGATATTTACCTGGTTAACCTTCTGTTATCAGTAAAAGGTCAACATATTATAATTTTTAAATACAATGGTTTTCATTCTCAGCAATAGACAGTCTATACACCATTATACAACCTAGGTATTGTTATGAAAAAAACTAAAGAAATGAAATATCTCAACTTTTCTAAATTAGAATATTGAAAACACAGCCACCAAATTAAAAATTTCCAAAAATTACATAGAAATTCAAAAATCTGAACTTCTTAATATAAAATAGGTCCACCATCTAATACTATTCTGAAGTTAACTAAAAGATACCTCTACCTTTTATTATTTAAATATGGTAATATTAGATAGATAAGAGTCCTAACTCCTTGACAATAGATATAATGACACTGGTCAAGATTTAGTGTATAAATAATAATAATATATTTGATCTTATTACTATCATATCAATACCCTCTCATAAATCTTACTTATATCACACAAGTCACACTATTATATTTACTAGTCACAATATCATATTTAATAGTCACAATACTATATTTACTAGTCACAATAATATATTGACTAGTCACAATATCATATTTAATAGTCACAATACTATATTTACTAGTCACAATATTATATTTACTAGTCACAATATTATATATACTAGTCTCAATATTATATTTACTAGTCACAATATTATATCTACAAGTCACACTATTATATTTACTAGTCACAATAATATATTTACTGGTCACAATATTATATTTACTAGTCACAATATTATATTTACAAATCACACTATTATATTTACTAGTCACAATATTATATTTACTAGTCACAATATTATATTTACAAGTCACACTATTATATTTACTAGTCACAATAATATATTTACTAGTCACAATATTATATTTACTAGTCACAATATTATATTTACAAATCACACTATTATATTTACTAGTCACAATATTATATTTACATAACATACAGATACCATCCTCCAAATATCAAATCATAATACTAATTTCATATTCTAAAAAGTTTAATTAATATATGTTTTGAAGAATCAGGCCCCAGATATACATTTTGAAAAGTGATACAGATGGATATCCTCTAAATATCAAAACATAATACTAATTTCATACAATTATCATACAGTTCCATACGCTATTCTCAAACTATTGTGTATCGCTCTGTAAATACTTAGCTTCATTTGCAGGAACAGAGAAGGGCACTCTTCCACAAAATACCATACAATGTGAATTTATAGTTAGTGTATTTTACATTGAGTAATTACATTATGTAAAATTGATAGTAATATTGTTCTATCTTTATTCATAAATCCATAGCTAATCAAAAGCATTGGACAATTTTCTTGTCTATTTATCATGCCTATTTCTAAAAAGTTTAATTAATATAAGTTTTGAAGAATCAGGCTCCAGATATACATTTTGAAAAGTGATACAGATGGATAATCTGAGAATCTGAGTTGATTATAAATGAGATATACCATCTTTTCATATCTGTCACCTAACTTCATTCAAACACTTATCTACTATAATTTCATATTTTTATTCATATTTTTACCTTAATATCATATGTCATAAAAACTTGTGAAAAAAACAAGACACCTGGAGACATTTACTGTTTTATACAGGTAAAAATAATATATCTATTATAATCACACTTGACAAGATAACAGACCAACCTCAATAAGCTTATTTGACAAAATGTGATGATTTAACATGCACTTCAGATATCATATTTGATAAGACTTGAAATCATATAACTACCTGAAGGAGTGAAAGTTAAAAGTTTTACATCCTACTGCTTACTGTCTGCAATCTTTACAGGGAAATATATCTCAATGTCAAATAGCAAACTTATATATATCCTAAATTCATGAATGAAATCTGGCTCAACTACATTTCTTCAATATTCAGTTTCCAAAAGAAATCAATATATTATAATATCAATAAATAATCAGTGAGGCAAGGTAGGATTTCCGTTAAACAACTCTAATGACTATAAAATTGTTCTTGTAAATCTGAGTAAATCTTGTTCACTGAGTAGAACTAGCTAGCTACTTGAATTCGTTACACTGAATCAAATTCCACTGACAAACACACAAAGCCTTCAATCTCAATTTGATTATAATCTAATTAAAAAATTTAACTAATTTTTCAAAACAATATTTCACTAACATTCACCAACACTGTAATTCCTATTGCACACAGTGTATACTGTATCTATACTTCCAATACAACACTGAATACACAAACATACTAAACTACTACAGGGTCACTTATAGTTGACAGGTACAACATTGCTTAAAGGGCCTACAGGTAAAAAATGGGTCAGGTGTTGTAGAATCCCACCTTTTTTATTACTGTCTTCTCACACATAGTTGACATATAATACTAGACTAGAACAACTGGTGACTTAATGCATGACTTACTACTAGTATCATATTACATTTAAACTGTACTAAATAATCTCGACTATTGTAATATTATGCAGTTTTTTTTTTTAGAATTGAAAAAACTGATAAAAACTGATAAAAAATACATCATTAATGAAAGATTTAATTTCCAGATGCAATTGAATATTTCAGCCCAGTATAAAAATATATTCAAAGTAAATGTACTTAACAAGAATAAGAGATACTTGAATGAATGAAAAAAAAATGAAACATCAAACAGAAGAAATAATTAGTAGAATTTTTACAAATGAATTTATGAATGAACTAAATGAGTAAATGAACAAGTGTGTGAAAGCATAAGATAAAATTTTACAAAGTAAATGTACATATATACTAAGGAAACAAACATATACTATATTTGGATTTCCCTAATGAAGTGTTGTTGGTGTAAAATGTCCACCCTATTTTTATCCAAGTTGAATTTGAAGTACTCTAATGTTACATGTTTGTATGTATATATCTTATAAATAGACAATATTCTTAATAATTACTTTATAATTTCATAGAATCAGAACTAGATGTTGTGTTTCTTTTATTTGTAAGTCTACTTACCATTTATTATATGATAAAAAGTTTTAATGCAATGGTTGGACCGTATTAGTGTGTATATAGGTTTTCAATATTGGCTTACCGAACCCCGAGTAGAATATTGAAAACCTATAGACACACATGAGGTTCAACTTTTATTACATTACTATTTTGTTTAGTGTGATTCCCCTTGGAATGTGATATGTGTATTTATAAACAATTCTCTATATTACTAACGGTTTATTCTTCGTCAAAATATGGTAAAGACACAAATAGCTCCAACCGTATTCAATATATGTGAAATATGGATATAATTATCACATCTGTTTGAATTTCCTGTATTGTTATATATCAAACATGTTTCAAATGCTAAAATTATTGTGGCAGTCTTACGTTTATTCTAAGGATGTGCAAATAATATTGTATTCCATTAGTTAATATGATCTCTACCCCTTAATCTCATTTGAGGATAATACAAAATAACTTATTTAAGAAACATGTACTTACTTTTTGAGTTTTTTCTGACTATATTTAACTTGGTATGAAATCTGTAATAATTGTTCTGGATCTGACTCGTATTTAGTCCGTAAATCTTTCTGGAAATACTAAAAGTAAAATAGATTCATTATAAAATTGATAATATAGCTGACTTCCAAATACACAGGGATATCAAACGCTGATTTCATTTTGTAGTCTGAAACATCAGCCACTATCCTGACCAACTTTTTCTGACCCTACTCCAGCCGACTGTCAAAATAGCTATCAGAGGCTGGAATAGAGGTAGGTGTTTAGGACTAGGTATTTGGCTGGGTATATATACTAGTTTTTCCTTCACGATAAATGATCTTTTTTGACAAATTATAGTAACACTGCCTTTCCCTGAACATAAGAAATCAGATTTTCTCCTACTTATATAGAACACTTGCTGATGGCCAATAAATTTAGAGAACTAAGATAAAAATATCTTACCCGTAGCATACCCTCCATATCGAGAGATAGTAGGTCTTCTTGACTAGATTGTAGGATAGCAATAGCTAATCTGAATATAGCATCCATACCCTAGAAATATAACACATCAGATTAACATGATTATCTTTTTAATCCCCCCTTAGAATTATCTTTCAATGTCTCATTGGCTAACAAATTAATCTGTGCTCAATTAACAATGGTCAACTCTTGTTATACAGCAAGCTTTGACTGAGTTAAAGAATGAAATCTATAGAGAAAGGTGTCTAGTTTAATCAAGTTGATAATGTTTGCTTCAGGCAGTACCAATGATATATTATACTCTTATAATAATCTAATCAATTGTTCCTTTCAAACAATCCGGGAATTTTTTTTTTCTGAAATAAGGTTTTATAGGATTGAAAGGAGACACAGTCACTCAAATCTGTTTCCTCCAATGAAAAATAATCACATAGTTCTGGACAATCTGAAAGTTGAAACTCTAAATTTCATTTAATTCTATCTAAATCAAGTCCTGAAATTAACAAATCATATGCGGTATTTCAAAGACACTTTCTGTTTCTTTTTTATTAAAAATATTATGTGTTTTTCAATGATTACTTGAAGTTAAATAGATAATTGCTTAGTTTTTATAGATTTAAACAGATTATACAGATATGCTGTTTTATAGATAACACACTACTGATAAAGAAACTAATTCTGGCCAAATTTAAAAATTTCAATTTTTCAGTCATCCTAAGAGGTTCGAAGCATGGCATTGTTCAATACAAAAGTAATTATTATCCATAGACTGTAAACTTTTGTACTAAGGCAGTGGCTCATGTAATTAAATTTCACAAGACCTACCTCTGATATAAATAAATCCATAATACGACAAGCTATAGCTAGGGGAAATGATGTGGTATATAATGTTAAAAACCATGATGAAGCATACATAGATGTATAAAAATTCTGAGCATTAAAATGGACATATAGTTCTGGTAATAACTCCTAAAAAACACAATAGAAAATAATATTAAGATAACATCATTGAGGTAATTCTTACAGTTTTTTACTTCAACATCAAATTGTATCTAAAGGGACATAACTCCAATAACTCATGCCAATAAATGTTAGATTTCTTTGACCCTGAATTGGTGAATTCTGAACAGGTTTTGACTTCTGGTCTCAATCAAACAGCATGAAACTGGATATGTAGCAAGCAAAAATTATCATAAAACAATGATTTACCTGTATGAGACATTCTAGTTTAAACATACACAATCCTAGCTCGGCCATACTAGGTTTAAATAGTTCTCTTAATCTATAGTCTACCATAATCTTTACTAGTACAGCAAACGTCTCTTCTTCTGGCATCTATATATATACAATATAAAACAATTATACTGTCTAAAGCAATGTAACCTTCCTACTTAGGTTGAGAGGTCTAAAATTGGATTGACCCAGCTTTCGCTCTCCCACTTTTTTTATCATATAAGCTAGGGATAGAATTGCCTATGTCCCCCATGAAAATTCCCTCCCCCCTCTACCTAATGATTATAAGAATTGCCACAGTTATTTGAATTCTATGAACTTTATATCCATACTAAGGGACCTTATTCTCAAAAACTAACTGAAGATGAATATAGTGTCCCAGTATTCACATCAATACAATCGAGTTTAAATATCCATTCAGCCTACAGTATTTTGTATTATCGCAATTTTATTTTAATTAAGTTTTCACTAATAACAGATATTAAATTAAAATACAAATTACCTGCATAAGTAGTAAACCCACAATAAATCCACTCCCTTGACAATATCCTACTTCTCTATCATGTAATGAATAGGCCTACAAATATAAACACCAGAATAATCGAGAATAGAGAATGAATCTGCATTGAAAATTGAGTGTAGTGTATTGTTTGTGCATGAGTAGACCTCATAAAGAAAACTATCTGGATTTTACTGTACCGTCTTTGCACTCTTGTTGGTTAATTAAATTTTACCAATATTTTTACATCAGCTTCAGAAACAATTTGCAAAAAGCATATATATCATTTTAGAACGTCTTTATAAAGGGAGCAATTTTCAACCAAATTGGAGGCAAATTAACATTTAAGTTAACACTTAATTAACATTAAGCTTTGTTTTTAATGAACAATCTTAAAATAAATTCATGCTAATCTTTTGTTAAGGCCTACATAAAAGTTAATAGCATATTTTAATAACAAAATTTTGTGCATATATCCCTTTAAAGAAGAGGTGAGCATTATGTGCACAATTATACAGTATATATACACCTTCCACATAATTAAAACTTTATCTAAATTTTGTTACTTACTTTCATAACATTAAACAAACTTTCTTGTCCAAGACCATCTTTCTCTTTAAAAAATTCATGATCCGGGAAAGTCCTTGCTATATCACGACGGATTAACTTCTCAAATGGTGATGTTTTCTTCAGATATTCAACATAAAGATGTTTAGAAGGTGAATCATGAACATTAAGTAAATACTGCCATGCTAACCCTCGGAAATGACTTGGTATACCCTTTCTTACTAGTTCCTGAAAATATACACGGAAATCATTGGAATTAGAACTTTCAAGGGATATGTTGTTTACTTTTCGAGGCAAGTGTTTCTCCATCCTCTCCTTGTGAAAATAATCGTAGAACTAGCTTGCAATAATTGCCTTATTCAACAAAAGGTTTTGTAATAACGAAAACTAAGTACTAAATTACCTAGTATGCTATCACTGGTTAAGCTTACTATATTTGTAATAACTAGTATATATGAGGCTCTGTCGTAAGAACATTCATTATCAATGTGGCTTGCATAATATTTATCTGAGAAATTCTAAGTAGTTGATTCAAAGTTGTGTATATCAATACTTTCAAAACAGTTACTACTGTGCTTCAGTTAACTAATTAACTTTGACTTCAAATGATAATTATAATAACTTTCATGTTTCAGTTTCATCAATTTTATTCCCACACTGTACAGAAATTTACATCGCTGTTTAAAATTTTAATTAATTTCATGCAAGTTGCCATAATGGAGCCAACTGACTACATGTTTTCTGCTTCTCTGTATCTTGATAGGGATAATTGCATTGAAATGAAATGAATAGAGTTTTACATCATACTCTTCTGCACCTTACTGTGCTAATGAAGACAGGAAATGTTATGCAGTGTGGAATGAGGTAAATTTTGCAAGGACAGCAGCATTGGCCTACTCTTTTTTGATTTCCAAGAAGAATATTCAAAGAATATTTAAAGTGCACAGCCTGTAGCACATGGGGTCATTATCCTATCTGAACTACTTAATTCTTTCTCCATGTCCGCCCCTCCGACATGCATCACTGAAAGGAGGACTGAGTTGAAAAATTCAAAGGTATTATCTTGAAAATGGGAATTAAGAAGCAACTTGATCTTTGTATTATAAACAAACTGCATTAACTGTTGTGCTAAAAGTAACATATTAGATTTAATAGCAACTTTGTTTGAAATAAAAGACATGCGAGTTAACTTAGAAATGTTAAAGAGTATTTTTTGTTTTGATTGACAATTCATGCTTGATTCATTCAATATGTTACATTCTGTACTGGTTGATAAATAGAATTATTGTGAATTGATGTGGTGATGATGTAAATGCAGGCATGGGAAGTAATTTTGTTAGGTCATGGGGGACTAGAATGTAACCTTAATTAGACTTACATAATTAGGTCGTAATTTGACCGTTTTTCTCTAATATAAATAAACAAAACAAAACAAAATGTACACAAAATAACATGTAAAAATAACAAAATTAAATGTAAACAGAACAACATCAACAATGTAAACAAAAAAAAGGAATGATTAAAGAAAACAAAAGTAATTCACAGAAATTTGAGGTGTAGAGTAAAAAGCCAATATTATCAATACTACTAAGTTGAAACTTCTGAAATAGATTACATGCAATGATGGAATACCTTACAAGACATATTGAATTTGCATTATGTATTGATCAAGGTTGACATGTAGCTTTTCTCATTTCAAGTTTTCCATATTCTGATTAGTCCATTGTTTCATTATTAATTTGATTGGGAAATATGTCTGTTACAATTCCAGGCAATGACATGAAACAGCTTTGGCCTGTAGTGAATACAGTTTAAATTGTTATGATATATGTTAGATATTATTTGAATTATATCAAAACTAGTAGTCTGATTTTAATTCTAACAAGAGTTTTTGATAGTTGAATCTGACCGTAATCAGCTATTAAAGCCACTACCTATTCAACTGCATCATTTTAAGAGAAATAATTCATACAGGCTTCAAGATTTGTATATTATAATCATTCTTCCATAGAAACACAAAGTATTATCAAGACAAGACAATGGTTGTCATTAAATAGATTTATCTATCTTATTTTTCTTCATGAAAATCTTATACCCATAAATAACATGATAAATCTAGATGTTAGTCAAGTTTAAATATCTAATGAATAACAATGAGATATCTCAGGTTGTAATATCACCTTAAGGAATGAATCATGAAATGCATATTGGATGTGATCAAAAGAAATGAATAACACATGCTTGTTGATTTGATTTATATTGAAATTTTCTTTGATACTAATGCATGGTAAACTTAAAAGAAATCGTATAATACAGAATTACAAAAAGATGCAAAAACTATCAGATTATGAAACCATAAATATTGGTTTGTAATACAGTAATTTTATTGATATAAGTCAACAAGCTTTACAATCTTTGGATGAGATTTTTGATCGACAGAATTGTCTTGCTTGTACAAATCTTTTTTTACTGCAATAATTCACTGATGAATCAATGAACATTGATGCTTTGCTTCATCGATACACTGCACTTGCAAAATTATTGTAATTAATTGTTTTATGGATGGGTGTTGTTTAGTGTATCAAATGGCTACTTCTTTGCTTTATCGGACTGCCTTATACCTACAGTTGACCATTCACACATTTGGTTTTAATGTTATATTGCACAGAACATAAACAATAATACAAAATAAATTCCCTTGAACTGTTTATTTTTGTTTTTCATGGAAACATTCAAACAAAATATACCATATAAACAGATCACAGAAAAACTACATGAAAACTGAACAACTCAAGTCAGTGTTTAATTAATCTTTTCTTACCTTTAAATAACCAGTACGTTTTCTTACAGTATCCCAATCATTGACTAGACGACCCCATACATCCCATAATGTTTCATTAGAGTTACCTAGAAATACAACATTTTTATATTATTCACACAGTGGTAAAAGACTGTTTTGGGAATTATCTTAAGAAAGACAAGCAAACATTTTTTTAGGAGGATAACAAATTTAGGTTCACAAAGATCCTTACGACCAGTTGGTTTTTGGTCGACATCGATCTTAACAGTACCCATTTCCAGCTGAATTGACCTACAACAAGTATGGCAAATGAGGCAATAGTTTTAATGTCCTCAGTCCACAGACAACTTCTTTAACTTACCGGAACCTAGTTCTTTAATAGTGGTATCATCTTCACAAGACAGTTGATTACTGTAATGACTATTGGTTGATGTAGATGATATCACACTAGAACCAGAACCTTTCCGTGAATGACCAGGAGTTACTGGTACCGCCGACAGAGAATTGAATGATTTCTCATCCTCTTCCAACATTCTAAAACGTAAATAGAACTTGTTAAATCTTTTCATTGTATCGCGTATCTAACAGTTATACACTGATAAACTGAAGACTTTAGAAACAGGTTACAGGGATATATAATAAAAAATAATTTCCTACATCACCCTTAAAGTCAATATGGAGTGTGAAATAAGGAAGAAATTAGAACTAAGTTCATATATAGTCATGATTTGATAAGCTTTAAACAGTTTGACAGTAGATTCAGATTAGCACCTAGTAGGTTGAAATATTATTTTGCAAAATATATTTCAGTACTTGTACCCATGGACAGATTTGGTTAGCAGTATATTTCAAGTGAATTTATGTTGTTTAAATATTAAGATTACTTAGATTAGGTCTGCTGTAAGTAGGCTTAAAATTATTGTCCAGACTAGTTATTTTTTAAAATATCTCTTGTTTTTTATAACATATATAGGTAACATAACAATATTATAACAATACTGTTTGTAAGATACACTGGATCTAGCTATTTCTAGACTCCACAGTTCCTCATGTTACAGAGTTGTTTAACATTTAACACTATTTGGCAGCAGTGATTTTAATTTTGTTCAATCATTAGAAAAATAAGATTGGAAGAGGGTCATTTTGACTCGCAATCTGTGTTTGATATCGCTTTTGAACTATCATCAAACTATCAAGCATAGAAAATATCTAATAGTTTTTTTTAACTAATGGTGGTGAATCATGCCTTGGATGTGTTGTAAACAATCTAATATATAGAGATGACTAACAACTCAGCTAGCTAGCTAGGATTCAGGAAATGAGGTTGAAAGTTATGTCATGTACTGGTATTCAAATCAATCAATTCAATTCAATTCAAACGGAATGTCATAATAACACTCAATACTTTCATTTTCATATAGGCCCTGTGGATTGCAGAATATTTGTATATATATCATTTTTTACTTTATTATTACAGCACAGAACAAGTTGGTACCACCTGATAATTTTCATCATGAATTCTTCTGTTTATATTAACACTAACTAAACTAATCAGTACTTTCAAATGAATAGTTTTTGCTTCTGACCTAGGCTCATTTCGCTTTAACACTAACAGTTAAGCTGATTTAAATCCTCCAGTATTTTCCAGCAGAGATATTTTTACTCATCCCAATCCATTTCAAGACACAAACATGCACAGTCCATAGTATTTTTTGGTAGTTTTAGTAGAAATGAAATATAGCTTAGATAGTATCAAAAACTATTCATCTTATCCCAAAATGAGAAATTCTATGATTTGATTGACTATATGGAAGAAGCTTTTAATAAGCTTGATCAATTGTTAGATTATAAATTTTGTTATCACCCCTGCTTAATCCATTAACGTACAAATCATAATGTCACCAAATCAAATATGATCTGAAGTAAACATTACTGATTCACTGATAAAAAGCAAATATGTAAACCCATCTTACCTATTAGCTGCCTCTAGTTTGGCCAGCAGTTCTTCCTCTGTCGGCATTTTACCATTTTTGGCTTTCGGTGGGGCTTCTTCATCGTTGTTGTTTACTTTCTGGGGTTTAGAGGGATTAGGGGTGGACGTATAACTTGGTCTGGAGGTGGGTGGTGTTGAGGGTGGAAGGATGTCATCATTACTAGTTTCCATGGTAACTGTAGTTAATTATTAGTAAAGAGTATAGTACCTCCATAGCTTCTTTTTACATTTTTATCATAAAAACTGAAATATAGTAAATATTTACAATATAAATACACCTTTAAAGTCAATTTTCAACTATATTACTATAAAAGTCAAATTGAAATAAGATGTTTACATTATATACAGATTTAATCTTTTTACTGGACTTCAAATTAGTTTTACATAAATTTGCACTAATGTATATATTCAAAAATAATTTTACATTCAAAGTGACAATTCCAAGTCTCATAAGAGGCATAACAAGGCTAGACTTTCCATAATGAGGACAAATTATCATTATAATAATGCGGACAAATTAGCATTATGGACACCCAAGGTGCCCTCACACCATAGATTACCTGTTGCGTTGAATAAAACATAACAATTTATTATTAAATATTTTCTGTTTGTTTGATCTTGTAGAAATTGTAATGTTCATTTCTATTATAGTTTCTAGTCATTCGTTAGTTTTTAATCATAAATCTTGCATCAAAAATCACACTTCATTTTACACTCAGAATTATGTTAAAATATGATCCAATGATTGTAAATTAAAATCAAAAATATTAAAGGGACATGTTCTCCATCTGTTTGACCAATTCCACCTGAGTCTCAGAAAAATAGACATTTTTTAGCTGAGGTTGTTAGTTTTTTCTGGAGACTCCACAATATAGAAGAAGATAGAGAAATTCCTAGTTTGAGGTATTTTTGAAGGAATTATGTGATTTTCGTACATTCTAGTACTTCTTAAGTCTATTTAAATATTTGCAAGGCCCAAATCAACCCCAAAAATGCCGAACCATGACCTTTAAAATAACAAGAGAGAATACAGATATCTGAAATAAAAATATCAAATATTGAGAGGGTCAAGAGGGGATCAAATCACAAGATGAACAAATCATATATCAGTAGCATTAAAGAGATTGAAAAGAGGTTTTCTAATTTCATATGTGCATTGGAGACAGTGACAGAATCCAATAGTTTATTCCAATTTTAAGTCAGACACTGTGCTTCTTGCAATTCCACTTTAACCAAGTATTAATGGCATTTATATTGTGTAAACTGCAAATAATAGGGGTATGTAAGGAAATTTTAGTCTGCTTGAACCATAGACGTCTTGAGTGAAAATTGGAATGGTGCAAATTTATGCTACCAGTGTCCCCGATACACACGAAAAATTCAATAAAAAAACTCTTTACAATCCCTTTAATAAACTCATTCAAAACAACTATATATATATAATACCTATTAATGATTAATTTCAATATTTCTACCATTGTTTTATATTACAATACCATAGTAACATCATCCATTAGTTTCCTGAAACTGTTTTATTAACAAATATATATATAGTGTTCAAATCTATAACATATTTATATATACCTGAATTATAACAATTAACCTTCATAAACACATACCTTTAGTTTGGTCAATAATACAAGGTCTATTTTATAATTAAATAATGTAAATTTCAGCTTGGCATACAGCATTGCTGTTCTGTTTCACTATATTATCATTTATAACAATTCTGGTCCATCTAATCTGTACAATTTAAACATTTCATTGACATACACTGATCGTATAATACAAATACAAATCTGATTGAGGTATTAGATGGCAGTAGCATTTAAACTGTTACAGCATCTATATCTCATAGCACGACACTTCTTGCTTATCTAATTTGTACAATTTGAACATTTTATTGACATACACTGACACTTTATAATACTAAATACAAATCTGATTGAGATTTTAAATCCTAGTTTCGATCAAGTTCATGCACAATTCTAAAATATTTTTCCCCCTAAATCCAACATTTAAGTGATACCAAAATACACCCACATGTGGCTGAGTAACACATTAAACAATTAATCAGTGAACCTATTTAATGAAGTAATTATCACTGATCTGTAATTATCTATACTGTCACGGTTAAAACATAGTAAAAACTAGAGAGATGATGTACAGATTGTAGAGTTTAATTAGAGAAAAACAAGGTGGAGATAAAACAAATATCAATGTCAAATAGTCATAATGTCACAGTCAGCTGGGATTGTGTTCATTTATACCAAAACCAATAACTCACTGGTCTCGACTTAACTGAGAAAAATATCACCAAATATAGAAATCTTAAATCTTAATCATGTACCATGTAAGAAAGCTCTCCATTAAACCAACCACAAAATCTAAATTTTGGAATGACTACAGCTGTTGTCAATGAGACAGTCATAACATTATCAGGTTGTTTACTTAATATGCAGCAGTAGGCAATCGACAATCAGCATATTTTGGCGTATTTTTGAGACTTGAATATATCTCAATAGTAAATATGTAAATAGTAAATATGTAAATAATAATATGTAAATTTAAACTATATTTAAAGAGCGTAACATCTTCAAATATACCTCAATCTAGAATTTTCATCTTGTATTTCTATCTTTATTGGTTTTCCCACTGCATCAATATGGTACTCTTTAAATGTCTTATCCACAAGGTCTATAGGAGGAAATACAGTATGTACATGCTCTAGCAGAAATGGCCTGACCACTATTATATCATCTGATGTAAAGTACAACTAACACAGAGATAAATTACAGCAAACGTTACCATTAAAAAAATCCATTTATGAAATTAACTGCTCTGCAACATTCTATATTGAATGTTACACAAAAGAAACATTTGTTTTCTTTGTCACAAAGTAAAGACAATTATAAATCATTTAACTTACAAGCTCCTGTAAGATTTCCCAATGTTCACTACTATGGTATAAATGAGATGAGTTTACACCGAAAGCATCACACTATAAAATAAAGTTAATGTGACATCAGGCAGTAAAACTTAGGATATGAAAATGTCACATAAAAGAACAATAGTTGATGTGTATCATACCATGTGTTCTGCTGTTTCTGTAGAGTGAATTAAGACAAAATGAAAGCACTGGTCTAAGACACTTTAATTTTCAGGCATAACTACATTTACATATATTTAACCACTGGAAGTCAATTGACAAATTATAAAAACCCAAATATTGTATAATCCATAAATCATACTTTTGGGAAAAAACTCTGAAATTAATTTGTAGCTGATTAAGTGTTGTTAGCACTATAATAAGCTATATCAACAACTCTTGATAAGATAAAATGTCTTTTTGATTAAATACCAGTAACCTTATGTTGGCTTTTCATATACATCAGAAAAACTCTGATGGTAGCCTCCATTCTTCAGACTTGTTTTAAGATCACTGGAATAATTATTCTATGTTTCTACATACCATGGGAATTTTTACTGGCATGTTCACTCGCTTACAATTGTCAATTTTTGTATGAAATCACTTCACATCTCCTTTGAAAGTCCACAAATGCAAATTTTAATATTCATAAGACTTCTTCACAAGAAAAGATGAAATTACCACAGCTTTGAAAATACTTAATCTAAATTGAGCCTAACTCTATAAATAGATATAATCCATTTTCTTTATTATTGTCATTAAAGTAATAATCTGAAGTAAAAGTATAACTACACAATATCCAATTCACACTAGTCACGAACATTGGTTATACAGTATCAAAATGAACAGTAGCTTGAGATAATATCACAGACAAAACACTTCATCAACTGAGGGCGTTTCAACCTTATCTTAAGTACAACACTGTAGACACAAAACAAATTTCTTTCTACTCCAACAAATCAGACAGGTTTTTATTTTCAAGTGTAAATCATTCCTTTTACACTTTTTCTTCACTATGAATCATTAAGATTTATTTTTTTTATTAAATCAAAAGTTATGGTATCAGACCCAATGGAAGAAGATAGCCTCGAAAAATGGAAGAACACCTTCCAACAACTTTCAGTATATTAACAATTCTGTGTTATAGGGACTTATAGGGACAGATGGGGAGTTTGATTTTAGTCTTGATTATCATATATATATAGTCATCAGAAGTACTAGAACTGTACAAAAATCGCATAATTCCTTTAAAATATTTCAACCTATGATTTTTACTCACTATTTCTATAGATGTATATATTACAATGTATCTTACAATAAAACATAAGCAGATAATCCTGAACACTCGTGGATTTGAAGGCTCAAATTTCAATGGTGAGTTGTGAACATTATTACTGTTTGGCTTAGCTAAAACATTCCTGTTTCTAAGACTAAAGTGTGATTGATCAAAAAATTAATGCATCTGTCCCTTTAAAAATCCAAGCAATCAAAGTCACAGTCACAATAATTATAGCAAAGCAGAAGTTTTTAGAACTGGAAAGTATCAAGCTGAATGCTGGAGATTGGTAAATAAGTTTATAAACAGGACTGGCAGGAGTCAGATGTCAGCAGGTTGCAGTGATGATATAATGTATACTGTATCATTATCAACTGACTGATACATTACATAAAAGTGACAATACCCAGCCACGCGGGTTAAACAAGTCTAGTGTATTATTATATCAATCATATTGCTGCTGTGAGCCTGTACAACACCTTATTACTTCCATGCAGTTTATTTCCCTAGAGCCATGGTAAATAATTGAATTTGACAAACAGAATGCAGTCATCATTCTATAGGCTATAACCTGCTGTAACCTGATATACACATAAATAAAAAGAAATTAAATTCAAGTCCCACTGTGTAATGACTGAATCTTGCCAAAAACTCTTTCTTATTGTATAAATGTATATCTGCACAGTGTCAGTATATCTGGGGGTTTAGATATTTATAAAATGACTGGCTGTTTATCCATGTCAGTTCGTTAGGGAACTACCTGAAGCACTGTAATTCTGTGAAATGCACAATTAGGGCACTTGACAGACAGGAAACTTCTGCCCAAACATACAGATTGAAACATACAGAAGTACTATTTAGAATAATGTAAGACAATTGTTAAGCGACCAAGAGTCTAACTCACTGAACTACACTGGAGCCCAATAATAGAGGCCGGGGTTAAATAGATTGATGTCAAACAGAATT